TCGGCTCATCACAAATCGACGACGAGTCGTGGTCCAGACCGCACATCACCACCTTACTGCCTATTTGAGACGCAGCGGGCCAGACGATGCGATACCGGTTGATAGCGACCCCGGCCTCTGGCTAATCGCGATCGTCGGTCCAAGCTGCTCGGCGCGAGACTCCCTCGGTGATCGCGGGCGGCCTCGATGATCATCCAAGCTTCGGCGCCCAGCACGACATCAAGAAGGTCTCAGATCCTCCTGGCGTCGCCCTGTGCCACATCGAGTAGGTTGTGCGAAATCATGAGTTTCAATACGAGGGAGCAAATCTGTCTGTCTTACATGAGCAAAACGATCCCTTATGATGAGGGTGATGTCAATCGAGTCTGAGAAAGACGGCAAGTCTCGTCAATGTCGTGTGCCCGCCCGGCTAGCTTCCGTTCCGACCTCCACTTTCGGCTTTTCCGCGGCCCACGCCGTCGGGAAGATCTGCAAAGGCCGTGCAGCACGCCGGTCATGCCGCCTCGCCGCGCGAACATCGTAATTCCAAGGGATCCCACTGCGAGCACTACTCAGATACCATTGAAGCTCTATTGCGAATGCGAGAGAAAAGCATCGGCTATCAGAATAACGGAAGAACCGTGCGAGATGATTGAGAGGTGGGCCTATGCCAGGTGGTGGAAGAAGGGCATGCCGATCTGCTCACGGAGCCCCTCTGCTTCTCCTCTTCGAGTGGGCGGCTTGCCACAGCATCGGGCACCACTTCGACGGCTTCAGGGGCTTCCGCTGGCCCCACTCTGCACATGCTGAGCGTGGCCTAGCGCGAGATGGCTCTCTGGATGCGCAGCAAGACCGCGGGAGGCTGGCGCGTCTACGGAGGTGCCGTAGACCGAGTGTCAAAAGGTACGACAGGTCCCGAACGAAGCAAAACCGTTTGAATGCGTCAGCCGAGACTCGAACTCGGTTCCTAACCTGTTGCATCCTTCGTAGGACCCATGAAGATGGGAAGGTTAGATCGTAGCCCATTGACCACTGACGCCCTTACAAATCTGGCGGAGATTCATGTCAGGCACAGATTGAACGCCATACTCAACTCATTCCAAACAACACGGTGTTTGATGAACCTTCTGGACCTCGCAGTATCAGCTCACGAGATGCTGAACTCATGACAATGGTGGGGAAGAAGTCACGATGGTGCAGCCGCGCTCCTTCCTAGTTCTCCTTAATCTCCCGCGCTGTGTCTTTCCTCTGCTCTGCTTCGCCTTGCGTTTCGATGTCATTCGGCTGTGTCGGCGCCCACATGTCCTGCTGGCCTTCGGCCTGCGGCTGTTTAGCATGGTGCGATCTGTGCACCGGCATAATCTCGTAGCTCGAGGGCCCGACCGTTGGCACAAAGGCAACGGCGCACACTGGGGCCCCCTTTCCCCTCTCCAGCTCCTTGCTCCTCAAGTGCAATAAGCGAACGGTCCTCGCACATTGCCATCAGGAGAATCTGGGTAGGGAAGCTACAGTAAACGGAAAAAGCCAAAGTATCAGATCGATGCAGGCAGGCGGTAAGAGGACGACCAGTCCCCGTGGACACACCGAGTCAGCGTCGAGCTCTGCTTCTGCTCAACATCAGCTTGTACGCAAATGCTCCGGACTATGGACGGCACATGTCGTGCTTGCTTGAGCAGGAAGGCCACTCAGGTCCGCGACCTCCCTCTGGCGCAGCAGCAGCAGAGTCGGTTAGCGAGGCGCTTCGCTGTGTCGCTTTTGCGACATGCTAGCCGCAGCGCTCAAGCTCGCCTCTCATCGAACTTGCGCCATCCCCTTTGCATAGATTGTATCCATCGCTGCCCCATGCTCCGATTGACATGGTGCGCCTCATCGCCATCACTCTCTCGTACTCTTCATGGCTCATCCTACTTGCTCAAGCTCGAGGTCTGAAGAGGACATTTCGGTAGCCGCACGTGGTGGGGGTCGGACTTCGCTGACGATGACCCACTCGCGGTGAGAACCGAGCGACGCTGCTGCCGGTGCCCGATCACGGCTTTCTAGCATCCACGTCAGAGATCAATGCCACGAGGCAGCGGAAGCCTGTCAAAGGCAATCGGCACTATTGGTGAATATTGCGGCGAAGGGAAGGTCAATGTATACTACCTCGCTTTTTCATGACAGTCTACCTTCGCTTATTGGCTCCGGCACAAGCTGATCTTAATCCTTCATCTCAAGGCTATCATTCAACTTCGATGCCGCGTCCGATGTGTTCTCGTCGCATTCAGTCAAGAGATACTCCTGCCTGCATCTGGCGATGCCCACTCGGCCTGCTTGCCCTCCAGATCTGTCTTCTACTTGCCCGTCAGGGATCAGTTCTCACATCGCAGCGCACTATAGAGGCTTCCATCCAGCCTGAACAGCCTTTGCGGGTCGCGTGCTTGGCTACGTATGGCCCAATCCTCTGTGTCAAGCTCGGAAGGGGCATATGTGCCACCGGTGCTGGATGCAGCCCCAGGAGCGGAGACGGTGCAGGAGTGATAAAGTGAGCGATGGTGGGCAGTGGGCTGTGGAGACCGATGGTGTCGAAGCAGAAAGATCAACATCGAGCAGAGCGGCGAAGGAGTTTGTACTGTCTACGGCCGTAGAACGTGGTGTCCAGATACGGCCCGCAGCCAGGTGAAACGCGTAGAAAAAGAAAGCACCTTGTCAGAGAGATTGAGCGCTGGGGCGGGGAAGTCAATGGTGTAGGCGTGGGCAGTCGGCGGCGAGGTGCAACCGAGCTACTGGTATGTCAGACGGCGACCGGGCGGAAGAGACGCTACAATTCGTCTCTTTGCTGCTGGGTCACAATTCGCAACGACTTCCACATCGAAAGGCGCAGCAAGCCGCGTTGAATCTGCTCTCTACATCTCGTCGTCTGATCGAGCGTCGATGAATCAAGTCGGCCCTTGCAAGCCTGCCAAGCTCATTCCCTCGACGCAGTACTCCGCAGATCAGATGCCGCTCATCTGCAAAAGGCGGCCGCGCCTTGCGAGCTTCATGAATTCCATCTCACACTTTCCGAGCGATGATGCCACGCCAAAGGAGCTTGCTTACCCTACCTTCTTTGCAGGTCATTGCCATGCTGTGGCACCAAGATCGGAAGGGAGGAAACGCTGTGGCAGCAGACGCTCGTTCATTGTCTCACTCGATGCTGTGACTTTACCTGCCTCTGCCGTTGTATGATCGCATCCCCTCTTCGCCCACACAAACCAATCCCTCGCTCTGTCGTCCGCTCGTCGTCTACTCTCTCGCCGTCGCACAGACCATGTCGCCTGATCATTGCACTCTGACGTGCCTGCTTTTCGGTCCGCACTTCGTCGCCGCACGCACCACCTCCGCCGCCGCTCTCGCCCAGGCACACATTTCGAGTCGCGGCGAGTCTACCCGGCGCCGCACTTCTCGCTGGATGCTCAGCCAATCCAATCTTGCCTTTGTTCCACTCACCCCTCGCCCAATCCACTTACCCTCGCCCGTTTGTCCCCCACCTCTCCCTCCGCTTTCTCCCTCTCAACCTCCCCTCCACCCAACACACCTCCATCTCCTCGCTCAGCAACACCAACACACCGACCTCGCGCTCGTCACAAGTAGCACCCCAATCCCACCTCGAGCAAAGTGCTGAGCACCATCCTCATCGCCGTCCCCTTTGTCGCACTCGCGGCACTGGGCTTGGACTGCTGGGCAACGTCGACTTCTTGCTGCTGGATCCAAATTCCACACGAGATGCCTACGACACATCACTCATCACCATGCACCTCACTCGAGAACAAGGGCAGGACACAGTCACCAGACACACAACATCGGCAGGCTTGGGTTCCGTCTTGAACGTCACGGCGAGAGACTGGCACACGGTCGCACTCGACGTTGCACAACACCGCTTACAGCGCTCAGTAGCTACTGCTAGCAGGCTAGCACGCCTTCATCACCGTCATCCCTCACTTCTTGCTGCCACCTTGCTCGAGGCATCACATCTCAGCAGCACCGGCAAGCAAGAGAGTCGCGCAGGCGCCACGCTCTTGCCATCATCAAGTGAGTGGGCGTGGGTGACAAACACCAAGGTGTACTCATGACTGACGTCTCTTTTCCACGCTGCTTGCCCGCGCAGGCTACTAGCTGTCGGTCGCCGTAGGCCGCAAGTACAGTAGCACACACCTTCTTTTGTCACCAGTCCACCTGCCCTGCCTCCATCCCTCAACTCCTTCTGTAATGCGAAGCACGTCGATCCCAAGGGATGCTGAACAAGGGATGGCAGGAGACACCCACCCGAGTCATAGAAGCCAGACAAGGATAGTGGAGGGGTCGGAGCGCAACGTAGCCTGGCCAAGTTTTGCCTCAACACCTTCAGCACCGCCCGCAGAGCCTCCCCCAACGGTCCATCAACGCTTGATTGACACAGCAAGATGCCTCGCTGCCCGCGTCGCACCGCACACCAGGCTCACCAAGACCGCCTCCTCGTCGTCTTCCTTGACCTCCCGCCACCTTGCCGCCACACGTACATCAGCACCGACCGATACAGCTCGGCCCGGTGACGATGCCAATAAAGCCATCGATCTGGATGGCTCCAGCGCGCCTGCCCACACTGTCAGCTCCCGCTAGCAAGTGACAGCGCCTTCTTGCGCTTTCCTCCAGCTCCGACCGAAGCTCTAGTCAGCACCTTTGGAAATCATCAAGACCTCCACTGCCAAAGCACCCGCAGCCCATGCGTCCATTTTGAGGGACGCTCACAACAACAAAGGCGCCTCCTCTGCCGCTGCTCGTCCTAGCAAGCGTCTCCTTTCCGCCTCCGGCTTCGCTGCTTCGAGCATGCGAGCGAGTCTCTGCGCCACATCGTCAACGGCAGCATTGACGTGAACTGCTTTGATCTGCGAGCTGGACTCCTTTACATTGTCACCATCGGAGAATCCTTCTTCGATCGTCAACCAGTGCTTGACAAACCCAAAAATGCCTACGCTATCTTGAAAAACGCCGCTTCGTCCTCCAAGGGTGCAGGCTCTGCTCGCTCAATGGCACCGCCCAACACATCCTCTTCCTCGGCCTCCTCCTCTGGCGCCTCGATCAGCACGGGCACCTTGCCCTCTGGCGGTCCTCACACGCCTGTCCCCGTCATCGACAGCAGCGAGGACGAGTGGCCGCTCCCTCCCGCCGCGAAGAAGAGGAAGGAGCCCACGGCAGGCCGACAAAGGCTGCCAAAAGATCTGGCTCAGCAAATCATTAACCTCTTCAAAGACAAGAAGGGCCAGCTGTGCCTCACCGAGCTCGTGACTATGCCGGGCGACGAGCGCTTCCCCACGTGGTGGCGTCCCGCCTACCGCAAAGCGCCCCTCGGACCCTGGTTCGATGAGGTTCAGGCTTGGCAGATCGAACATGCGCGCCTTCACCTCATGGGCCTGCACCGCAAGCTCTTGACGTCAGGGATCGAGGTGGACAAGGCGGAAGAACAGTTCGACACCATCTGGGCTCGCTACGGCAACGACGGCAATTGGAAGAAGGTCAGGCAGTTCATCTTGCCAGAGCGCTTTCAGCGCCTGAGCCGCACGGAGATGCTCCACATGGTCAAGCAGGAGCAGGTGAAGGCAATTCTGCGGCTGGCAGAGCAGCGGTTGCCAGAGGCTTCAATCATCACGCAGCCCTCCTCCGCCAGCCGTTTCATTCCAAACAATCATGCTCCTCGTCGAGACAACTCGCCATTGCCTCTTCCTACCAACGCCGTCGGGTTTGCCATCGACCCCGAGGAGCTCGAGCAGGACAGCAGCGACCCCGAGGATGGCGAACGGCCCACCTCTAATCTTTCCGTCGGCGAGAAGAGGAAGGGGGGCAAGCTGCTACCCAGAGACACGGGGAAGCAAGTGCTTGAGCTCTTTGCAGCCGCCAAGGAGGGCCGCGCGCGAGTCATTGGCACCATGCCGGGAGACCCATCCTGTCCCGCATGGTGGCGACCCGCTTCTCGGACGTGTGCTGGTAGCGAGTGCTTCAACAAGATCTCTGGCCAACAGACGGAGCTCGCGCGCCTCCATGTCATGGCTCTGCATCGGCGACTTGCCAAACAGAGCTCACGAGATGGACATGTGGCCGTGCGCGAGGAGTTCGAGACCATCTGGCGCCGGTTCGGCAACAACCAGGTGTGGAAGGAGACCTGGTACCGTGTTCTGCCGCATCGCTTCTCAGGGCTGGAAAGAAGGGCGATACTCAGCCCCGCGCGATTGCGATGAACTGCGCGACATGTGTGGGTACCTGTTCCACAGATGGAACACATGGTTTCCCACCTTGCCGCAGGCCATCCAAGAAACACTGACCAGCGCCCCTAGGAGATATTTTGCAAAGCGCGACCTCAGCAATTCGCGCCTGCATCCTCGTCCCCATACGAGGCCCTTCTCTTGGGATGTCAGTGTTATGCCCTTCCCGTGGCATCACTGTCGGCTGGCGGACCGTCCGCTCGCCAACTACACAGTGCGCCACGCCAGGGCTTTCTTGGGTCGCGACGCGCCCATCGTGCCGGACGTGCGTCGATCTGGGTGCTGATAAAGCGAGGCTTGCCCGAGGCTGATGCCCGCAAGGTGCGTGACGGCTCATACCACGTAGCATTGCGCACTCTTGCTTAATAGATGTGACCCTCTTCTCCCACCGTGGCAGGTCAAGGAGCGACTCGGAGAGCAAGCTGTCACCGAGTTCCTCGCTGGCTTTGGGCAGGGGGAGGTCGAACGCCCTCCTGTTTCGCCATTCGCCCGCAGCTACGACGAAGCGAGGGGGCAGGGGCGACAGACGATCAACCTCTCCGAAATGGAGCAACATCGTCGCGAGCTTCGGGCCTGGGTGGGGAGGGTAGGGGAGGAGAAGGTCGCCGCGGGGAGGCTCAGCCAAGAGCACTCCAAGGTGCAGCTCGGCTTCTCCATCTCCAACATGCTCAGGGAGAACGGGCCCCTTCGACGAGCACGCTGTGGCTGTCGTTGCGTTTGAGCTGCTTCTAACGTCGTACATCTTTAACGGCCAACCACTCAAAACCACCCTCGCTCGGCCCTCATGGTCGCGCACGAAACAATAAGCACGGCTCTCTTTGTAGATTCGATATATGAATGTACATCTCCGGTGCGCGCTACGCTCAGAAACGGTTACCGCTGCCCATCCTAGAGGTCACGCCGTGAAGCTCCACACCTGCACCTGCTCGTCTTCGCTGCCCAACACGGAGAGGACGCGATCGTAGGCGGTACTGACCCACTTGATTGCGTGAGGTACGGGAGGCATGCCTTCCTTGCGGACGCGAGCCAGGAGGTCACTGAGAGTAGGTATTCCACCTGTGCCCGCCTGCTTGTCGCTGCGCAATGTCACGACGTGGTCCATGCGCGTCTTGTTGAGACGAGGGCGATCAGCAAGAGCCCATACCATGACGCTGCCGTCGCTCGACCCACTGACGCAGCGGCCATCTTCGAGAGCGACGCTGAGGACGCTGCCCATGTGACCGTAGAGGACGCGACGATGCGCTAGACGGAGTGGTGCGGGCGCGACGTCACCGCGCAGCTCGTAGACTTCGAGATGGTTGTCTTGGGAACCCACGACCAGGTAGGGGTCGTCGTAAGTGATCGCGAGTGGTGGCGCGGCGGAGCGCTGTGCGGCGTTGTCGCGAGAGCGCGAGGCGGCGTGTTGAGACGGAGCGGTGGCAAAGCGACTCGAGACGAAGCCGCCCGCACCTTTTCGCAAATCGAGGACTATCTCCTGTAAAGCCAGCGTCCACCCATGCGGATAGGCTGGACTACAATAGGCTACCGTGAGGCGAAAGGTGGAGGGCTGTCGCGACTGCGACTGCTGCTCGGTCGAGGAACGCCTCCGCTTGCCCAGCTTCGATCTGGGCCCTTCGACTTGGAACGGGGCCAACGAGATCGTTGCTGGCCAGTGGCAAGTGAGACTGTGCATCTGCTTGAGGAGGTGCGGTTGCTGCGAATCGCCCAATTGGTATAATGAGATGTGAAAATCGGCCGTGCAAGTTGCGACGAGGGGCCAATGGAACGACGCGAGGACAATAGGCGTCGTCGTTGAGGCTGGCGGCGTGAGGTGCACGACTTCCTGGTGATCAAGGGAGCTCGTCACGCGGAAGATGGACCAAGTCGAGTCTGAGTAGGCGACGAAGAGGTTGGCGACGCTCGAGGTCGCGGCACCCGAAGTCGCGACGTCCACACGCAGCTCGGTGATGGTTGCCTTGGAGTTGCTGAGCCGCGGCGAACGCAGCTCGGCGATTGGGCGACTCTTTGTAGGATCGTGCGGCTCCTGAACGTCTTGGCTCCCCTGCTGCGTACGTGGGCTCCTCTGCTGCGCATCACATCGATAGACGCGCACGACTGCCTCGCTGCCCTCTTGTCTCGACGCCGTGAAGATGAGGTTGGCAGCCGACTGGACGAGCGTCAGGGGTCGATCTGGTCCAGCCAAGGAGCTTCGCGGCGTGGACGGTTCGACTGGCTGGGCTACTTTGCCTGCCCTGGCGAGCAATTCCGTTACCGCAAAGTTGCCAGACTGCCAATTGGCGCTGACTCGATAGAGGGATTGCCAATCGAGACCATCGTGACGTACATCTTCTTGATCGACGGCCCTAGCCTTGCCCTTGACGTCGTGCGTGTGCCCGCTGTAGTAGCGTGATGGCAAGCCACGTATCCGCTGCGATGGTGTCGTGTCATTGGCTAGCAGGGATCTGAGGCCGGAGAGGGTAGGCAATCGCGGTTGCTGAACAAAGACGTTGTAGAAGAGCCTCTTCCACAGCTGTGACGGCGGGCGGGGGCGAGGGGATCGAGGTATCAGCGTGTGACTTTGATCAACGATCTGGTCAGTATATGCATGGTCGACTCACCTGCGGATCTTGGGCTAGTCTATTGATCCTTTGTGATACAGATTGCAGTCGTGTGAGGTCCCTAGCTGCGAGGTTGCTAAACACGGCGAGGAGAACTTCGTCCGAGAGATTCGAGTCGAGCGTCGTGGTAGCGGGCGCGGGCCAACGAGATGGGCCCGCAGCTGCAGCTGAATCGCTGTCCTCGTCATGACTCAAGCGCCGCCGCTTGATCCGCGGCGATGTCGGCGGCGCCCTCGACATGGTGGAGAGGGGGAGAATGCGTGGTGCGTGGTGCGTAGTGCGTAGTGAGGATGACGAATGGGTGGCGGACGGCACGCACCTGCAACGTCTCTTTCCGTCTCGCAGGCGGCAGCGGCAGCGTGGAGGGCGTGCAGCACCCACGAGGATGATGGATCCTCGTTGCCGCCATTGCGTTACAGCATGGACCCTCGACGCCAAGTACATCGTCTCTCATCGAGGTCTGATCCGGCCTATCGACTTGCTGCAACGACCTCTTGAGCCAAGTCCAAGCGCAGATGGCTCGCCGTTGAGCATCCGCGGGAAGATCGCAGCGAACCAACTGCTGGTGAGCCCAACGCCGGCCTGGCCCCTGCCTCACCGGCACGGCTACATCACCGCTGCAGCGTAACGCTATGCTCTCATAAGCCACTGACCTGCTCAACATGCTTGGACCTCTCTCAGCTTCTGCGCCACCAGCCTGCCTCACCACCGAGCAGCCACCCATCAACACGATCCCTACCTAGAGGCCAGCGCCCCAGCCCTCCGCCCCTCCGAGCTATCACCGGCCGCTCACCATCTTGTCGCACGCCAAGCTGCGCATTTTCTGCCGTTGCGCGATGCCGTCGCGCCATGCCTTCGCGCCATGCCTTCGCGCGATCACCACCCGTCGATGTATGGCCGTCCACCTCGGTGATGGTGTCAACGCGCGCGCCCACGGCACGGCCCGCTCCTGCTCACCATCCGCAGACCGACGGACGAATATCGCTCTCATGGCGGCACGGCCCGCCTGTCCAAGCTCTCCTCATTTTCGGACGTCGCAAAAGGAGTGAGGAGACGTCCGTGCCACTGTGCACCCGCGTAGGAGGTCTGACCACACACACACCAAGCCACGACGAGAGAGGGGCTCAGGCGCGCGTGTCTCCCACAGCCACTTTTGTTAGGAGCTCTTTGCGCGCTTTTCATCGCTGCTATGACGACGGTGATATCCGGGCGAGAGGGCTCCAGGGCGAGCGAGCGAGCGAGCGGCGCGCCCTCCTGACGCTACGAGGCAATTGCTCCCTGGATCACGAGGAGGGCCAGGCAGTGTGTCGTGGGCTGGCAGGCACTTCATTACACCCCTGGCCTTACACACCGCGTCGTGCCTTCCTCTCTCTCTCCATCGCGGGCCGACGACGCAAACACAACCATTCATAAAAGGGCGGACGGTGAGGGCCCCTCGAAACGACAGAGCGCACCCGCCTGCCCTTTTTGCCTCCTTCCCCTCTTGACACATGTCCTGGCTCGCTCCATCCTCACAGTTCGACATCATGGGCGATGGTAGCTACCAGACGATGGCCCCTTCGCCGAGCGCATCCTCGCCATTGAGCGCACCTCCTAGTGCACCTCCCAGTCGACAATCCAACGAAGGGATGCGTCACTCCAACTCGACGACGACGCCTTCCCGCTCATCTCCAGCCGTAGGTGCCGCCGCATCCGCCCTTGACACGGCTGCCCTCGTTGCGTCGCCGTCTCTTGCACAGAGTGCGGGCGCGGGTGGTGGTGTAGCAATGAGCAATCCGCCCACCAGCGCCGAGTTGCTTAGGTGAGTTGGCGGGGCGAGAGCGTACGGCGGCATGATGGGGGTGTTGCTTACCATCCACTCCCACTCCCGCGACGCCGCAGCCTCTACGGCCCTCGTCCAGTCCGAGCTCAGTTCGCATGCGACTACTGTCGTCGACGCAAGGCCAAGGTGAGCGCGGCGACGACGGCATATCAACGCTACGACTCGCTGACCCTCGCACCTCTCGCTCACGCCTCGCGCCTCGCGCCTCGCACCTGCCAGTGCTCTGGCACGGAACCCTGCACTCGATGCCAGGCAAAGGGAAGGGAGTGCGTCTTCTCGACCGTCCGCAATCAGCGCAAGGTCACCACCTCGCTGCGTGACATCCGCGGCGAGGCTCAATCGCAGTCGCAAATGGGTCGCGGACGTGGCAGCAAGAGCACCAACAATGGCAGCAGGGTCGGCCGCACCGTACTCATGTCGCAGGGCAGCCCGTCGTCCTCCGACTTTGGCTATCACCGTCAGGGAGGAGGCACCCCTCGCTTTGGCCCTTATCCTCAAGTCCCGCCTCACTACCACGCTCACTCGCCGCAGATGTACGGAGGCTCACCCGCTATGACGATGGCGTCCTCGTCGTCTTCGGCAATGTGGTCCTCGCCCGACTCATCGACGATGTACCCATACACGCCCAGCCTCCAGGGCTCGCCGGGACTGCCCATTGGCTCCAACAGCCGCTTCTTCCCTTACTACGACGATGCCATCCCTCATGGCACCTACCCTATGCACCCTCAGCATGCCGGTCTGGGCCTCTTCTTCGACGGCACCCCTCAACACGACCTCGCCCAGGCCAATCAGCATCTGCAGGTCCCTGCTCCTCCCCCGCCTCCCCCAGCTCCCGCCCCCGCCGCCGCCATGAACCAGTACGCCATGCCAGCTGCGTGGAGCGCCGGCGCCGCGGCTGCAGCTCCTCCTTCCGCTCAACTGTCGTCCTCTGCACCCGCCATCACCACGACGACTTCTTCGCCTCCCCCCTCCATCACTGGGGCAAGCCGTCCTCACCACCTCTTCACGCCCAATGGCGCACGCAGCGCGTCGTACCAAGACCTGCCCGTCGCTTCCACCGCACTTGGCTTTCGCCCGCCCACGCCGCCCGCGTCGGACTGAGCGCAGCGGGTGCAGGCACAAACTGCTCGCTACCACGGCGCCGTAGTCGCAGCCGCAGCGCGACACGGGCAGCGCAAACGCAACAGATTGCTCGACACTTCGCAGCTCATTCCTTTAATCGTTGATAGCTCTATAATCTCGTCCTCATCGTTACCGAGCACCCTTTCACTTGCTTGCTACCTCTGCAATCATCCAATCACTCTTCCATCAGTCAGTTGCGTTTGGGAAGAGGGGCGAAGCCTTCGACTCCTCTCATCACCGCGAGGGCTGCCTCGAGACTTGTCTGCCCTGTGAGCTCGTTCGCAAGACGAAATTGCTGACCGTGGGCATTCGTCAGCAGGACAGGGACTGATGGCAGTCGGCGACGACTCCGTGCCTGGTCCGCTTTCGCCGCTCTTCGCCGGCGTCGCGATTGCTGCCACGAATGGCTGATCACATCATGACGCTGCGCCTTTGTCCCACTTCTTCGCTCACATCGCCTGTCTTGAGCTGGCTTGCTTCTCTTCTTCTCTATCTACCAAAGCTACCTTCTCTCCCTACCTATGCATCCATGCTTCCTCGTCCATTTGCCAGCAACAGCCCAGCAACGGCTTAGCATCAGTCAAGCTCGCCCTGCGCTCCCCTCTCTCTGCGCAAGCTGGCTCTCGCCGCTGTCACGGCATATTGTCGTTCGTCTCGTGCCGCTTCTCGAGCGCATTCACTCAGCCTAGCACAGGATTCTGCCAGCGCTACTCGGACATGGTCCTGGGAACCCCTCAGGCTGCGAATTCTTCGCCCTTCGTCACTGCCAGCAACACCGCGTACCCCCGCGCCGCGGTCAGCCCATCAAAGTCAAAGTGTCGGCCCATATCGCTAATTCGCTGAGGCGAGCACTCGAGGTGGGGCTTGCCGCAGGTCATCGAGACGTCTAGGCTGAGCACCGGCACACTACATCGCGCAAGCCGAGGCGTGGCGCTCGAAAGCAGTGCGACAGCAACAGATCACGAGCTCTTCATCAGAACGCCGCGTAAGAGAAGTGAGTTGATTTGCACGATGCCTCGAGCAGAAGGCAAGCACGGCCTCCTTGCTACACTTCTCTGAACCCCTTCCCTCGCAGCACACCTTCCCCGAAAGAGCGGACCACTGAAGTCGCAGCATACCCTCGTAACCATCGCAGCGTAGTCGTGCGACATCAAAGCTCAACCTCTCTACAACTCTCCTCCGGCGGATCGAGGTGAGCATCAAGCTAATCACATCAATGCTTCGCTGCACTACCATTCTCTGCATAGCATTCTCTACGCTGTATACTTCCTCGGCCCGACTGCTCAACCGCATATAGCCATACGTAATGACACACCTTGCTCGCTATCCCTTTCATGCTTGATCGTCGATCGCATCAGGAGAGTTCATCACACCTCGTGATGAGAGCATTCTGCAGAACGAGTACCAGCCCGATCGGAGCACTTCTAGGCCCATCGGCCCTGTGGGCCTGTAGAGCCTGGTCAAACTCCCTGAGACGCCGGCGGGGCGCGCCTACTGGACCAGCGCGAACGAGGTGGATTCGCAGACTAGCAAAGGCTCAAAAAGGTGTGCTCGACATCGTATTTGATCATGGCTCGAAAAGGTGCGCAAAAAGAGGTCGAACTGATGCGAGAATGAAGTGCTCACTGTTTCTGCTGGACCTATGCCGAAAAAGAACGAAATTTGAGGATGCGTCGGCGATTTAAGTGAGCGTTGCTGGGGTGTTTTGATGTTTTGACGGCTCATGCGGGCACGTGCCGGCTGACGCGCCTGGGCGCGGCGCGAGCCGTTGCGATGCTCTGCGCGCCGTCTCTACTTGCTCCTTCTCCGTCGTCCCTTCCTCATCAGCTGCGGCCCTTTCATCCCGAACGAGTTGCGGACCAGATTGATGAAGAAGCGGCGCTGCCAGGTACCATTCGCCGGATCCAAAGCGATCCACTCCCCGTGCCCGATGGGCACCTCCCGCCCCGCTCCCCAGCTCGGCCTCAGAGCAAAGTACAGGCGCTCGAAGACCCGCACGCTCGACTCCGTCGTCCGCAGTATGACGTCCCACTCGCCGTCGCCGGTCTTAAAGGTCATCGACGGGTCGACGAGGTCTGTGCCGGTGCCCAGGTTGACGTGCTACCACGCCGTGCCGGGCAAGGTAAGGATGCCTACTCCACCACGTCGCTGCTGAGGCCGGAATCGTACTCCTTCTATCCCTCAACCTGACTGCTACGCCATGCCTTCAGGCAATCTGTCGGTGTGAACGATAGCTTCTGCCCCTGGTCTGCTCGACATCGCCTCCGTCATTCTGCGAAAAGCTCAATCGCGAGGAATGGTATTGGTATTGACTACAGTACGGCGAGCCTCCTCTTTGCTCTGCCACTCGCGCGCCTCCTCACTGCGACAGATATCTCGCCAGCGTCTGTATCGTTGTATTCCCACCCGACCAGACAACTCCTATCCGCACGCTGCGGTCGTCCTCGTTTGCGCGAAGCACTGCCACCCGCCTGACCAAGGCCTGCAATTCCTCATTGTCCAGCAACGTCGCTAGGCCTATCGCTGCGTTGGGCTCGACGAGCTGCTTAGTCTTGTCCGTGATGACATTGAGTGCCCAGACGACTGCTGAGTCGGGCGCCGTCGCAATGAGGTCGACGTGCTCCTCAATGTGGGCGAGCGTCCGTTGTGACAGCGAGGTGAGGAGCCCATCGCAGATGGTACGAGTCGGAGTGACACTAGGCTGCAAGATCCCCGTCGTAAAGGATCGCTGAGCATCGTCTGCCCCCGCCGGCTCTGCGCCTACGACTAGGACGCGCGGATCCATCGACTTGACGGCTGTTGCGACGCCGCTGAGCATGCCACCTCCGCCTACGGGTGCGATGATGATGTCGAATGGTGGAGCGTCGTGTGGCGGTCGCGGGGGCCAAGCTGTGTTGACTCCAGACGATGATTGCCCTGCTTGCGCTGCGTGTGAGCAGCCTGCCCTCGTCTCCAGACCCGCTGCTTGCTCCATCATCTCCTTGCCCATCGTGCCCTGCCCCGCAATGATGGCCGGATCATCATAAGGAGGAATGAACTCGACGACCAGGCCCTCCTTCTCCAACTGCGCGCGAGCCTCCGCTGCCATTGCCTCTCGAGCGTCCTGCGTCGGCTTGCAGTACATGATGCGAGCGCCGTACGATGCGACGTTTTGCTTCTTCACCTTGGGTGCGTCTGCGCGTGCGTGTGCGTGTGCGGGCAGTGAGTAGGAGTCGCGACTCTCGCTCTCGCGCCTACCTCACCCTCTGGCATGACGACGAGTGCCTGCACTCCGGCGTTTTTTGCCTGACAGGCCAGGGCAGCTCCATGGTTGCCACTCGAATGCGTCAAGACGCAGAGTCGTTTTGGTTCGAAGCGCGAATTGCTCTCCTTCGATTCCTTGAGCTTCAACTGTATGGCATTGGCAGCTCCTCTCGACTTGAAGGCTCTGCATGCGCAGAGGGTGAAGGGGAGGCAGTGAGCGGCTCGCCGAGCTGACGGTGGCTGACCTCCCGCACACGATGCTCACCCCACGACCTGAAGATGCTCCGCTTTGAAAGCCATTCTGATCTTGAGCCGCGGCGCATCGGGTGGTGACAAGGCTTGCGACACGATGTCGTCGATGGCCCCATTTGTCAAGAGGGGCGTGCGGACGACGTGCGGGCCGATGCGTTGGGCGGCAGCCTGGATGTCTGCGATGGAGACGAGATCCATGGCCTGCCTCTGAGCTCTTTCATCCCGTCCATTCGTATTCGTCATGGTGGCCGAGTTGCCGGGTATCATTGATTGGTCGTCAAGAAGCATGGAGCGCTGCGCAAGCTGCCTTCTGCAACCTTGGCCCGCCCGCCGGCTAGTCTGACTTGGACCCGTGCGTGCCTTGATTGATTTGACTCCGCCCGGCAGCCGCCTGCCTGCCTCCACGCTCTCTCAAGACGCACGCCCGCACGCTACGCCCCGCCTCTTTCTTGGTCCGCTTCCTCCTTCACATCACATCACTTCATCTAGACACCAACCCTGCCCGGCATGGAGAGGACATGGTCCGGCGACTCGGCCGCCTCGCCTCTCCTCGAAAAGCCAAGCTACATGGCTACCTTCGATGCTAATCGCCCGCGCCCACATCGGAGGCGATCATCGATGCCAGCCGAAACCTTGCCGCCTTCCCAGCATAATCAAAGCCTCGCAGCCATCAAGGAACGACGCAAGTTTAGAGAGAACAACAAGCTCTCTTCCTCTTCCAACCTACCATCAAATGGCGGCTCCCACATCAAGCGCAAGCGCAAACCCCGCCCGCTCAGCACGACGACGACGACGACGCACGCAGACTCTTCGGCCTCTGTCATCACGTCCACTCCTCAGCCCCGCCGACCGAGCAGACCATCGCTACATTCATCCAACGACTCAATATATGCCGCTGGGCCATCTGCTAGCGACGATGCCAACGATGACAGCTCATCCTCCAGCAGCGGAGGCGAGGAGTCTTCGTCTGCGACGGAGCCATTTCGGTGGGACAAAAAGGCAAAGCGCAGCAGCATCGCAGTATCCCAAGGCCTGCTGGCCTACCTCGCCCCAGACTCGCAACCATCGACGAGCAACCATACAAGAGAGCCATCGCCGAGCATCTCTGGTCCATCAAAGCGCAGCTTGACGCCGACTGGACAACGCATCCCTCGCAGCCATGTCGACGCTGCTGCTGCACGCACCTCGCCCAGCCCCTCCTTGACGGTCCCACCCGCCACTCGCTCCTCGCGAGCTGCACCGCCGATGCGCAAGACTCGCGGTTTCAATACTGTGGCAGAGACAGTCCTCCTCACTGGCACAGCTCTATGGGCCTGCTGGCAGCTCGCCTCACGCCCAGAGCCAGAAGCTAGAGCAAAGGCCAGCGAGGTGGGTGTCATCATCGTCGGCAGCTTAATCTACTTCATCCTCGCAGGGAGACATGGTATGATATGGTCGACGGACGCACGCAGCTATCGACCCTGCCCAGACGACGGCTCGATGAGTGGCCTGCTCCTCGGTCCCCTCTTGGCCACCACGATGCTCTTTGCCTCGCTGGACGAGTCGATCCTCACCCCTTGGCGACAACGTTCGCCCAATCAAGAAGGCCTAGCTAGTCCACCCTGGTACATCGAGGAGCCCATCGAAGTGCTCGGCATCCGCAATCGTCAAGCCTTTATCAAAGCCACACCTCTCACAGCGCTAGCCCTATCCCGCTGCACTCTCGTCAGCCTACAAACGCTCATCAGCCTCATCCTCCTCATTCATTTGGTCGTCACGCGATGGTTCAGCAGCCTTCAGACGAGGGCAGCAAAGAGCAATTGGGGCCGACTGGGAAGCTACATCGCCTTTTCCTCTGCGGTCACGGTGGGCTTGTTCACCATACGCGAGGTCATGGACTTCTTCGGCCTACCGGTGTGGACGGGGCTCGCTCGATGGGAAGTCATCACGGCTAGCATCAGCTTTCAAACGAACATGTACACAATCTCACGTCTCGGTCGCGGCAGCTTTACACTGGGAGAATTGGGCATCGTGGCAGCGTTGGGCGTCACGCTGATGATAGAGACGATCAACTTGACGCTAGCTAGAGTGAGCCGAAGCAGCCTCCACGTCATCTCAGCGCACGCTGACTCCTCGTTTTCCTCTTCTCACTTGCTCCCGCTCTCCCCGCACACGCGCAGCTCTTTCCCAATTCGACCCTCTTCCTCAAGACGTTTCGCCGTGCGACACCGCTCCTCATCTTCCAACTCGCCCTTATCGTCGGAACCTTCTTCATCGGATTCCTACTCTCTCCACTCCTCTACCTCTCACGACACCTCGCTCAAAAGCCGGTACACCGTCTCAGATGGCCTCACAAGAGGGACTTGCATCGTCGCCTCCTCGCCGCTTCCTTCTACATCTTTGCAATGGCATACGTGGTGGGCGCCCTCGGCCTCTGGGTACGCTGGCTCCTCGGTGGTCGTGACCCTTGGTTCTGGACCGCACACTTCGTCGTCCAAGGCCAGAGGTGGTGGACGAGGCCGGCTCTCGTCATCTACTGGCTCGTGTGGATCTCGGCCAGCATCACTGGCTGGCAGACAGTCGTCTCGAGGGCCAAGAGATTTCGATCGAGGCCACCAAATGCCCCGACAAACCAGCAGCCGCCCACACCTAACTCTGCTCCCCATGCCGCTACAGTATCGACGAATTCCGCTCCGAGCGGCGCTAAAGCCATCAAGTCGTGGAGCTACGCCACATCTCCCCTTGCCACAGAGACAAACTTCTCTGCAAAGCTACGCCGTCCAGCCCACCACCACCTCAGTCTCAACGCCCGCCGCAAGTTTTTCCATGCCCTCGCCGTGGTTCTCTACACCCCCGCGATTGCCTTTGACCCAGCATTCACGCACCTCTCCTTCTCCCTGGCATTCTCCGTCTTCACATTTGCAGAGTACGTCCGCTACTATGCGCTCTACCCGTTTGGAGCACCCCTCCACGTCTTTATGTCGGAATTCACCGATCACAAGGACTCTGGTCCGGTGATCCTAAGCCACTTCTACCTCTTGTCGGGATGCGGCGGAGGTTTGTGGCTTGAAGGGAACAAGCAGATCAGTCATCACACTGGCGTGCTCATCTTGGGCATTGGTGACGCGCTGGCATCCGTCATTGGGCGCAGGTACGGCAGGCTGCACTGGCCCCGGAGTTCAAAGACGATCGAAGGCTCGGCGGCCTTTATGAGTAGCGTCATCTTTGCGGCGTGGCTGCTACGTCTGGCAGGCTGGTGCGAGGATTTCAATGTGAGTGGGGAATCGTCGTGCGGCAGGCTGGCTATGAAACTGGCAGTAACTGACCTTCCTTTTGCGACCACCCTCCCCGCTCGCAGCTCTGGCGCTACTCTGGCGTAGTCTGTGCCCTCTGCTTCATGGAAGGAGTGAGCGAACAGAACGACAACCTCATCCTGCCCATCTATGCCTTCATTTGTGAGTGCGATGCGAGGCAGGCAAGCAGACGCTCGAGGAGGCGTACGTCGTAGAGCTGACCCACTTCCTCATCGCCTTACGCTAGGTCTCGGCTTATTCGGAGTCGCCTAGCCAGCGATGATCATCTATTCCTACCTCGTTGTCACGCCGCCCCCTCACGCTCTCACCACACTTCATTAGCAAATGGACAGCAGATCGATAATAGATTGACTAGAAGAAGAATTAATGCGGCTTGGAGAAAGGGTGGAGTGACGAAGTGCTAGCTAGTCTTGGCCGCGCGTCGTCAGCGCCGCCTCGTACATGTCGAGCTGGGAGAGGAGGAGACGACAGAGCTCATCCTGCTGCCCGATGGTGATGACCTCTTTCTTGACGGACGTAGCAAGGTGCGAGTGATTGGCCACGACCTCGCTGATAAAGGTCTGGCTGATAATGCTTTTCATCCTGGCTACCTCGGCACGGGAGCGAGCAGCCTCGCGCCCTGCCTCTTCGACGTGGCATCGATGTTCAGCCGAGGAGCGTCTTTGAGCCTCGAGTGCGCCTTGAAGCTTGCTTGATACCTCGTCGTGAGCGAAAGTGAGCTTCTTGTTGGCCTGATGTGCCTCGTGAAGCTCCTCTTCCAAGCGATGTCGTTCCTCCTCTTTTTTGCGAACGGCGACACTGTCGTTGGGGGCGAGGAGGGGGCTTGCCGCACCCTGTGCCTCGTCTGAGCGAGCCGCGACTGGTGCCGGCGAGATGGGCCCTGCTTGCGGGGTCATGAAGGCCTCTTCGACGACATGCTTAACTGGAGAGAGGGGGGTGCTGGGCCCCTGTGCCTCACTGACCTGCTGCTCCTCTTTGTGCTCCTGCTTGCGCTCCTGCTCCTGCTTGCGCTCTTGCTCCTCCGCATCCCACCCCATCAAGCTGCTCAAGCTAGTCCCCGACGACATCCTACCAAGAAACCCCCGGCTTCCACCATTCATCCACCTACCCGTGCCCGGGAATGCCATCTGGCCACTGAGCCTACGCATGCCGCGCTCCTTTGCAATTGGCGTCTCGAGGCCCTGTGGAAGAGGGCGTGACGCGAGGGCGTTGGACTCGCTCGCGAGGCGTTGCGCGAGACTCGAGGAGGGACGAGGATAGCGGGCGGTAGCTTGGCCGTTGGAGGGTGTCGAGCGGATGATGCTGGATTTGGGAGGCAGGTTCTGCGAGGCGGGAGAGGGCTTCATCGATGGCGTGGCGACGTGCTGCTCCCAGGCGGCCGCCTTGAGCTTGACTGCGGAGGGTGTAGACGGGACGCCGCTGATGGCGCTGCCAGCCGAGGACCTGCCTCGTACGACGGACTGCCTGCTCCTCAAGCTATCGGGAGGTGCTCGAGGTCGTGCACTTGGGACAAATGGTGTCTTGCTGGTTGGTGGTGAAGACGTAGTTGGCTTGGGCTGCTGTTGAGCCGGTAAGGGCTGAGTGAAGGAGAAGGTCCTCGAGCGTGCTGCGGGCAGGCCAAAGACTTGGCCCTCGTCATCGCCACCTGCAGAGGTAGCGATTGAAGGAGCGGCCTGCGTGGGTGCAGTCGTCGTTGCCCTCTTTGCCAAGCTATCCATCGAGGCGCGATGTCGCGGGATACGACTCTGTCCTGCCGAGATGGATGCTGTAGTCGTCTCACGTCTGTTGGGGAGTGTCGAAGATGGATGCTTTGCCTGAGGACCTAGCATCTGGTGCTTTGCTTTCGTCTCTGGCGACGAATGCTTGGCAGGGCTGAGCGTGTGGCGACTGCGCTTGACTGCATCTATCTGAGGGGTTCGGTTCTCGCTCTCCTCGATTGGTCGACCAAACTCATCGATGGAAGTGGCTGGCTGGCTAGCAAGGCTCGGAGTGGCTGGGACGCCGGCCAAGAGAGGAGCAGGTCGTCGCTTGCCCAAAGAAATCGCTGAGGCCGCCTCCGCCCTTGCTGGCGTACGTAGACGCTGTTGACTCGGAGGAGGTCGATTAGCCAGATGAGGACGCCCCACAGAATGCATCGTACACGCTGGGTCAAAGAGATGGATGGACTACGGGGAGGCAGGGAAGGAAGGACAATCGGAAAGGCGTGTGCCAAGATGTTGTTGAGTCTTGTTGTTTGTGAAGGAGAATGCGAAGCGTGGGTCAACACACGGGCACCACTTTCGCGCCGCCTTGACCGCCTGCTCGCTCAACCTCTACTTCCGCTCACTCCCACGTCGCGCTACGGCTAGTCGCTCGCAATAGTCATGTCATCATCGTGCAGCAGTTCCTGACAGTCCATATAGTACACAGTGTACATGCGCGCGCGCCTCCTACCTTACTACGTAAAGGCACGCAACTTGGTATCTGACCCCATGGCAGGCGTCGTAGCTGGCGTCGTCTGAAATCTCGACGACCCTGGTCTCGAGAAGGAGGAATTGTCCGTCACCGAGGGAGTCGCTTCTTCCATGATGGGGCTAGGACGTGATCGATCCTGCTGTAGCGCTGTCGGCGCCGGCGCCGCTGACTTGTACAAGGGGTTGACGTGCGGGCCACCTTGATTCCTGCTGTGATCGTGAGGCAATGGCACTCCATCCTGTATCCGCTTGTACGCCTCCTCCTCCATTGCAATCCTGAGCCTCCTCTCGACCTCTTCGCGCTTCTTGGTCCTCCTCCCACCGAGGTAGATGATCAATCCCGCAACGGCATTGCAACTGAGCGAGCACGAGATCAAGCTGGCCGTCAGAGCAGTCGGGCGATGCTCGTACCTGATTCCCCACGTCACCCCACCTAGAAACCCTTGGAGGAGGGAGTGGCAGTCCAGCAGACAGACGATGACAATCATCAAGTTGAGGGGAAAGGCGCGATGCGTCGCCGTCTGGTGGAAGCGGTAGTAGCCGTGTGACTTGTGGAATTTGCGCTGATGATGGGACAGCTTGGCTTGCTCCTCGGGAGTAAGGACGACGACTTCTTCCTTCTCCTTGACGATCTCAGACATGATCGAGGCGTTGCGCTCCAACGTGCCAGGTCGCGTAGTAGCGGCGGCAGCGCCGCCGTTTTGGCCTTGGTTCTTGCTGTGCAGGCGTCGCAAGGCATCGCTAACAGGCGGCGCCTCCTCTACGGCCTTGGCTGCAGCCTCAATTGCGTGTTGTCGCTCCTCTTTCTCCCTCTGAGTCGTCCAGGGACGCCACCACCGCCTCTTTGTCTGCGAGTCGACGGCTTTGGCGTTGCTGATGGCTTGTGGAAGATTGGCGGCGGGCGGCGCAAAGCGCTTCGTTGGTGAGGCAGATGCAGGTCGAGGAGGTGGGACACAGGAGCTGTCCGTCGTATTCGTCGAGGATGACGAGCTTCCACCACGGTCTCGCCCCGCATTGTGCTCGTGATGATGATCATCCTCCTCGGCGATGAGGTGCATCACTCTCTCCTCTGGCTTGGGGAAAGCCTCGTTATAGCCCTTTGGTCGAGGCAAGTCATTGGGGTCGTTGAGCTCTGGCAGATTGAATTGGCGCCGTCGTCTCCAGCTGAGGTGGTGATAGTGTGCGATGTGGATCATACGATATGTGTCGACGGCTCTGAAGGGAGCAAAGCCAAGACCGACTGCGGCAAAGAGGGCGCATAATACCTGATCGCAGTACTCAATCCAGAGGCGGCGCTCATGAGGGTCTGTTACGGTAGACCAGTGGAAGATGAATAGACAGATGGCAATGCCCCATCCTAGCACGGGGAGGAAAGCAAGGGCAAGGAGAGAGATTAGCATGTTGCAGCAAAGTCGACTCCGCAACTCGCCCGCCTACTCACCCGTAATGGCTAAGCCGTAGCAGAGCATGATGAAGCCAATGGGCGTCCTGGCCCATATCAAGAAACCCCTCCAACCTCGACGGAACTTCTGCGGTCGACTGAGGAGATGCTCAACATGCCGATCCAGCTCGTGCCTCTGGTACTCGTCCATGTCCTCCCACGGCTCAATGTGCTGAGGAGCTTGTGCTGGCTTGCGCTTGTAGATGCTCATGGCAGCATCTGACGCCCGCCTCATCATCGACGGTGGCTTTGTGAGCGTAGGAGCAGCCTCAACTGCTGCAGTTCCTCCTGGCACAGATCCTCTTCTGCCCGCTGTCGGGCTCACCGCTCTGCCTTCCTCCATTGCCGTAGCACCACTGGTGCCCGCTGCACTGGCGCGGCTGGTACGTCGACCGAGTTGAGGAAGCTGATGGGTGATGCGTTTATCGTAGAGACTGGACAGGCTGGGTAGGAAGATGGAAGATTGGATGTTGGACATGTGATTGATGACACCAACTTCCGGATCTACGACGTCGAGATAGTCTACGACGCCGTCGTCGTGGTGATCACTTTCTTCATCGTGGTGTTGCTCTTCCAGAGCGAGCCTGCCTGCTTCATCCTCGTCGTAGTGATCCTGGGTGCGGGATGCTGGCCGCAGACTGGATGCGGTGTTGGATCGTGCTCGTCTCATCATGGAGCCCAAGAAGCTTTCGTCGTCCCTTGACTGCTGGTGAGAGCGTTGCCGCGTGGGTGAAGGTGGTTTGCTGGTTGCTGCGCGTACCACTGTCTCGTCACCTGGACCCTTGACTGATGGCTGCTTCCTATAAGCAGGGCGCTGGCTTGTCCCCAAGGCGGAGCCATGCCTCTGTTGCTCATTGGGTGGCGACGTTGGCGGCGTGTCTGCTTCTGGAAGGACGTCTAGCTCGCGAGTTCGTGTCCTCGCAGCACTCGGCATGGGAGGCTGTGATTGTGGTGCATTGGTGGCTCTCGCCCCCCTATCCTCCTTTACTAGTCGCTCCAACAGACTGGACCCGCGCGGAGGTGGCGAAGGTGGGCGACGTTGATTGTCGTCTGCCTCATCGTGGGACGCTGTGCTCTGCACTGCCTGCAACTCGAGGGCGTCGATCTCTCGTCGTGGAGTGGACGGTGCATCCCTCTTCTTGAGACGGACGCCGCTCGAAAAGGCAGACTGCTGCTGCTGCTGCTGCTGCGATGGCGATGGTGATGATGATGAAGGGTGTGGTGGCGCCATCGTGCCACTCGATGGCCACTCAAGGGCCGCAGGCGATGGATGGTAACAATTGAAACGGTTCAAGCCTTGGATTGGGCGCTCCATCTCTTGATGCCGGGATCTGGCTGCGCCACAGATTCGCGGCACTTGGCTCCCGCCTGCACACACTGCAGCACAAAACAACGTTGCACAAAACAACGTTGGTTCGACCGCCGGCAAGCACGCACGCAGGCGCCAATCCAATCTTAGAACGTCACACCACGCCGCCAGCGCCGCCTCCGCTGCTGCCGGCCACCAACCAACACGAGCTCAATCACCATACCGGCCGGCGTGCAAGGACGACAAGCGCCAACGATTCCATTGATATACCACCCTCTCATGTTCTATAGTATCGATCGCCAATCGAACCCATCCCTGGCGTGATGGCCCAGATCGTCTTTGTCCTGCTGCGAGACACTTCTTGTTCCCGCTCGTCATACTCCTGGTCCTCGTCCTCGTCGTCGTCGTCGTCGTCCTCGTCATCACTGAGTAGACGCCTCGGGCCAGTCCCAGCTCGACCTTGCAATCGCCTCGTGGCATCCTCAAGCTCATGACCACGCCGTGGGTACTCGATCCTACACTTCCTCAACCCACCATCCACCCCCGCCAGGACAATCTTGACGCGTGGGAATGCCCTCGCAAGGGCCCAGATCCCTCCCTTTGCGCTTGCCAATATGCTGACGAAGACAATATTCTCCTGCGGCACGCAGTGGTCCAGCATGACTCTGATGGCCATGAAGGCCGCCGCGCCTGTACCGATCTGGGCGTCCAAGAGAAGGACATGAGAAGATGTAGCCGACGAGCGACGGCGTAGTGAGTCCGGCAAGCGAACATCGTACAGTTGAGGCTCGCCGTCCTCTTGCGTCGATTGGATGAGCAAAGACCCCTGGACAAGAGCTGGGATGGATCGTCTTGCTGCATTCTCCAGCACGGAACCTGACCTTTGAATGGTAATGGTGCAAACATTGTCCGTATCCAGCACCTTGCCCTTCCATGTCCTCCCCGTACCTCCGCAGACGACACTCTTCTCACGATAGGGCAAGTGACTCGAAGCGGCCTCCATGAGGATTTGGCAGACGCGGTCGGTGTAGAAGACAAAGTCGGCGGCCGACGTCGTGGCGTCGTGCATGATAGTGAGCAAGCCCAGCAGTTGTGGAGTTGGTGGGAGGAGATGGACGGATGCTGGGAGGATTGCTTGGGTGAGATTGTTGGATATGTCGGCTGAGCTGTCTGAGAGGGAAGACGTTGAAGGGGTTCGCGAAAGGCCCGTAAAGTGACGTGAAATGAGGGCAGATTGGAGCGTCTCGTACGAAGCCGAGGTAGAGGCAGCGCCCCTTGCTGCGGGCGTCATAGGCGTCTTGCTCAGCTCGGAGCGTAGTCGATTCGCTCTTGCGTCAAGTTGGCGCTTCACGTGCTGGGCGACGACATCGACGGCCACGTCGTTGCTCTGACCTGGAACGATGAGGTCGGCCCACTTGGCGGTAGGCTGTATGCTATTGTCCATGGCCGGCTACAGGCGTGTGAAATTGTGGACGGGGATTTAAAATCAGATGATGATGCTCCATTTGGGTGGAAACTCCTCGCACGCCCACTCACCTTGACCCATCGCAAGTAATGCTCGATAATGCCATGCACATCTCTGCCTCTCTCCTTTGTATCTCTGGTGATCCTTCTCGCCAACATCAAATCGCTATCCGCCTGAACATAGATCTTGAGATCGAGCAACTTGCGCAGCTCCGGGTCGCTAAGCACAAACAAGCCTTCGATGATTACGACCGACGCCCCGTAGAGGTATTTTGTCTCGTCTACTCGCTGATGCTGCGCGAAAGAATAGACGGGTACTTCGACTGCCTTGCAGTTCTTGAGGTCGATGATGCATTGCTTGAGGAGGTCTTGGTCGAATGCGGCTTCGCAGTCGAAGTTCCAGTTGTTACTGAAGGCCATTTTGCTCTGCGCGAGGGGTGGGGGAGCAGGACAAGGATTAGTGGATGCTGCGCCGGCTGAACAGTCCTTTTTGATGCCCACCTGCTCTGGATTCAAGGGCTTGTAGAAGCTGTCCTGGCTTACAACAGCCACAGTAGGCACATTGAGTTTTGCCAGGACGCGATTGGCAACACTCGTCTTACCGCTCGCGCTGCCTCCTGCCACACCAATGACGTAGGCTTCCGAGGGCAAGCCATCAAGGCCATACCAGGGTGACCTCCCCGAGCGAGTCTCCACAAGCGTCTTGCTCGATGTAGTGAGGCCAGCCTGTCGCGGTGGCTGCTGCCGTGAAGTGGAAGCCTCGAGTGAGGAAGGGGAAAGGGCCATATTCGACGGCATACCCAGACTGGCCTGCTCAAAGGCTCGAAAGACGGGCGTCTCGTGGTAGTCTGAAGACTCGTCACCTCGAGTAGCAGACGAGGAGCGAGACGCCGCCATTATAAGCTCGCTGTGCCGGCACAGATGACGAAGCGACGACGGAGGAACAAGTGTTGGTCGGAAAGACAAAATGGCGCCAGTCGTGCTTTTTCTCTTTTTGGAATCCCTCCCTCTCGCTCTCGAGTGTCGTCCGCCGCGGCACGGGCCATGGCGATTCGCGACACCAGAATGCAAGTCGAGATGCGTCGCATTCTACTTTTTACTTCTCTCGATTAGATGATGATTTCTGACAGAGTATCGCTCAAGATGGTGGACTAGGGAGTTGCAGCTCTCAGACACGTCATGGTGAGAAGCTATTCTGCACCCATCTCTTCGGGCTGCACTTCCTCTCCTTCGCCCTCGTCCTCGCCCTCGCCCTCAAGATCACCCTCCTGCGCTTGGACGAGAATCTCAATGATGATCTCGCCGTATCCCTCAACCTGCTTGACGGCCATGTTGCCATTCGTGGTCAGCTGAAGGACGTGAGCGACTGGCCGAAGCGCAACGGACAAAAGCAATCAGATCGTGCTGCGTACCACCCAGATGCGCTCGCCCGCCCACTCACAAGCAGCAGCCGCAACCTGCCTCGTCGAGTCTGCAGTGGATGCAATGTCGGCAAAGGTCAGAGCATTAGGTGCTACCTCCAAGGCGCGCCTTTGAGCCCAGCCGAAGAAGTTGGTCGTCTCCAAGTCGCGCTGAGCCTGAGGGACACTCTCTACCACGGACACATGTGCAGAGGAGGATTGATCGCCGCCTGCAGGCAGAGAGGGGAGGCAAGATATCAGAGCTGGCTGTTGTCCCAACCGTCTCGTACGCGTACTCACCGCCCCCCATATCAAGAAAATCATGAGGCGATCCGCCCGCCAGTCCCAGCAAGCCCAAAGCCTCCCTCCCTCCCGCGCTACTGGTGGACATGGATCGATGTCCGCCGCCAGGAGTACCTTGGCCAGCACGAAGGAGATCCGTAGTGTCACCGGCACCTGCAGCCGTAGTGTCTTGAGCCATCCAGGGAAGTACTGCTCGGCCCGACATGCTTGGAGTGCCTTGGCCTCGTCCAACCTCAGCGCTGCCGTCACGAGCGATTTCATCTGAGCGGCGTCGTGATGGCGGTGTCAGATCAAGAATGCTCACACACAAGGACGCTCATGCTCACCAATTGGATAGTCTCCTCCTCCAAGATCAAGCTGCCAGCCATCGTCTCCGAAGCCTGCAAGCACACCTCCAGCCGCAGCACCCACTCCCTCTGCCTGCTCGCCTTGATCTCCCACTCCAACGAGGCCCCTACCTCGGTGCTCCCTCATCATCACGTCGACTCGTTCGTTCTCGGCACCTACAGTGACTTGCCAAAAGTCGACCAGGAGAGGGCCATTCGCGACTGTGAGCAAGAAGCCGAAGCGGTGAGCAGGTCAAGGCCTCTGCCGACACATAACATCTCGTGCCATCCGCACTCACGATCAGCCGGTGCATTGTGCAGCAAGTTGTGGACCCACCCTTCAGCCCTCTTGACAGCATCGCGCTCCTCTTTCTCGGCGTACTGCTCAGCCATGATACGCGCGTAGTCGCCCTCCTGGTCCCTGACAGCCTCCTCGCTCAGACTAATGCGAGGGTCCTCGACGCTGAAGGAGACCTTTTTCTTCTTGGTGATCTTTTGGCGCTTGGAAGGAGAAGGAGCATCGCCGTCATCGGCGAGACTTGGGGAATGACTGCGATGCAGGATACCTTGAAGAGCTCCGGCGTCTTCGAGGCCCATGTCGAGGGGATCAAAGCCGTCCATCGGATGGTCTGCTGCACCATCATCAAGCGGGGGAGGGCCACCATCGGCAGAGAGTCTTGCTGCGCCGGGGGGACGAGCGCCATCAGGAGGAGCAGCAGGAGGGTCGAAGCCAGGGAGTCCTAGATTGAGGGGGAGGTCGTCACCCTGGCCAAGCAGATCATCCAATCCAAAATCCAAGTCATTGGCGCCTCCAAAGTCAGCTCCACCTCTCCCGGCTCCTGCATCCCCCGTGTCGCTCGAGTAGTCGCCCCCACGATGAGAAGGAAGGAGGATAGCGTCGCGTGTAGCGGTATGTGGGGGCGGGCGACCGAGTGAAGCGCCAGGGGAGCGTGATACAAAGCGCCCACTGCTGATTCCAGAGGCTGTATCATCGCCTGGTGCTGCGGAGGCTGAGCGTGCGAGGCGTTGGTCGAGGAAGTTCTCCCATGACAAGTCAAAGGTAGAATCAAAGTCGCCCACGTAAAAGGCTTGATTGGGCTTGAGGGTTACCTGGCCGTCAGACCCAGCCCCGTGTGACGCGCCCTTCTTGCTAGCCACCATGTCGATCTGATCTCCGGCGATGAACATAGCAGAAGGGGCAGTGATCTCGGATAAGTTCTTGCGCATCGTAGCGTGGACTTGGCTGACATCGAGGACGAATTGCTCTGATTTCTGGCTGTACAGGCGGACGACACCGTACATGAGCTGGCTGCTGAGGCGTAGAGCCATAGGCTCCGAAGGGGAGGCGACCGAATCGCTGCGCACGCCCGCGACAGAAGTAGCATGGTGTGAGCACTGAAGTTCAGATATCGTGGTAGCGCAGCAACTCACCAAGCTTTGCTGATATTGATGCCATCGAGCTCGCGACGCGTAATCTTCTTGAGGGCGGTAGATCGGTTACCCAAAGTAGCTGCTAGCCAGACGATGCCGAGGCCAGTCCTCTTGGCCAGCATTTGCTGAGAGTAGAACATGATGGGCGAGGTTCAGAGAGCGTGGTTCAGGATGTGACTTTGCCTCGTCGCGTGTACTGCGCAGCCTTAGAAGAGGCGAGGCCGAGACGAGGTGGCACAGAGGCGATCCAGAGTCTCTCGTGTCTCCGGTGAGGATCGCCTCGACGTGGCTTTAGGGTGCAGCAGAGATGATCAGCACAGGCCAGGGAGCTCGGATAATGCAGTGATGTAGGGAAGGGAGAGATGTGAGGAAAGGATCCACTCTTCGCTACGTGTGTGTAACGAGGGGCCGCGACGCGCATCCGATTGCTCTCGCGAAGACGGCTTTGACGGGCCTGCGTAGCAGGGGCAGGAAATGAGCAATTTGATGTCGAGATGATGAATTCGAGGATATGATGAAGTTCGGATATATGAAGATTCGAGAATTTGTTGCCACTTTACTGCCCCACACACCTACTCCTCCATCCTACTCGTCTTCTCAGCCCTCCTCGCCAACCCCTCCTGCCTTTTCTGCTCCTCAATCAGCAGCCTCTGCTCATACGCCTCAACCGTAGCGTATCGCTCATACCACGGCATGTAGACGCGCGAAAACATGCGCCAAGCCGTCTGGAAGCAGAAGCCAGAGTCGACGAAGACGGCGCCCAGAGAAGCCTCAACTATGTCCGCGAGGGCCTTCAGAGCAGGGCGACCGATCCAGTAGTGCAGCGCAGGCTTCGGCTGCTTCTTTGCCTCGTCGTCACCCGTGTGCCCCCTCTGTTCGACGTAGCGGTCGACTCTTTCCCTCGCGTACTTGAGTTCAGCCGTCGTAGCTTGAATCGCACTCATGAGGGAAGGCTGAAAGTCCGTCTGCAGGTACTTGTAAAGCTTTGTGGCCTCACAGAGCGCGCTGAGGGCTTTGTTCGAGACCAGCATGCCCTTGAAGGCCGTGAGTTCGCCCTCGTCGAAGTGAGTGAAGCGTTTGAAGAGCCAACTGTGCGGGGCGAGAAGTACAGTAGTGTGAGTCAGCGAGAAAGCTTCACGTAGCCTCTATTTGTCGGCTCACGCATCGATGAAGAGGTCAAGCAAGCCGTCACCCAAGAACTCAAGGCGCTGGTACGAGGGCAAGGCAGAATTGAGGTGGCCTGGATGAGTCAATGCTTCGAGAGCTAGGTGGGGCATGTTGAAATGGTGGCCCCAAATCTCCTCCAGTCGCTTCAGCCGCTCACGGTGGGGACGCTGATTCCACCTCTCGGCGATGGCCTGGCGGCGCCAAGAACATGGGAGAGGATATCAGACTCGGCAGCGCTGTTTAAGACTTCCCCTCATTTTCACCTTGGGCTCTACTTGTTCCCGCCATCTCCTGCGAAGAGGAGTCGTGGTCAGTGCCGTGATGCTTCATCAACACCACGTCTGCGTCTCTTACTTGGCGATGTCGTCGATGCTTTTAATCTCGGAAGGCAAGATGCCCAATCGGACGCACGCAAATAGCCCCAGGTCGACATTGAGCCAGAGTCCGTCCTCGCTGGTCCCGGAGGTCGTGCTCACTGCGGCTCCGATGAGACTCTCGACGATGTCTGCAAGCATCTTTGGCGACACATGATTCAGCCTCTCCGTCGGATCAATTGGTTCGCGATTGGTAGCCTCAAGCAGGGGTGGGCACCAGTTGCGTCTCGTGAAGCTGCGGGTGCAGAGAACCGTGCCAAGCTGGAAGTCCTTGGTCTTCTCTACCAGGCTCGAATTGGAAAGTACCTCCCTTGCATCGAGGTGGAGATGCCCTTCGAGTCGCTTGTCAGAGCGGGCAAAGACGTACGCGCAAGAGATCGCTTTGAGGAAGACGTCGCCTAGGAACTCGAGGCGCTGGTTGTTGTAAGGGAGGCCGGCCGAGGGGGCTGTTAGGGCTGTACTGGTCTGCGTAGGATCGAGGCGAAGCGAGAAGAGATGCTCGTTGAGCTCGCGGGCGTTGAGGGCGTGCTCGAGACCAGCGAGGTAGGAAGGGACCATGCGTGCCGACTCGAAAACGGAGGCGGTAATGCTGTGCTGCCAGGTCAGCTGTGGGATGAGGTAGTCCGGACTGGCTGTGGTCGACTTGGCCCGGCGCTGCATGGGGACAAGGTAGTTGTCAAGGCGTTGAGCCAATCGCACTGCTTCGATGAGGGGCTGATCGTCAGAGGGGCTCATATTGTCGGCGTCTACATTCTCTTGCCGCATCTTGCGGGCAACAGCGTCGTCCCAGTACGTCGTCGCTGCGCCTTCCTCTCCTTCGCGTCCTGGAATCTTGCTGAGCGGTGTCTTGTCGTGATCAACCTTGAGAGCTCGGAAAGCTCGAGCACCGCTGCCCACGCGCGGCGAGTCCAGGACGAGTTTGTCTAGCACCCAATGCTCTTCTGGGTGGCGTGGGACTTTGGAGATCGCCGAGCCCTCACTCGCAGCATCGATGGCTTGCCAGTCAATCTCGCGCGTCTCCTTGTCGAGTGGCAGGATCAGATATGGCATCTCTTTGCCCTCTAAGAGTCGCGAGGAAATGAGAGCGAGGAGACGGAGGGTGTAAATGCGAGCATGAAGTAGCTGCTGCTCGCCCAGGCGCATACTCTGAGCTTGACCCAGGATAGGCAGCTCGCAAGATGGTTGACCTTGGTAGCTGGCAAAGGTGATGGGCGCCATCTCGCTACAAGGCAGGGCGCTCTTTGTGATGAGTGCGAGAGGGTGGAAGGCTTCGCCTGCATCGTCGACGCCGGGGAAATCCAGCTCGCTGCGATAGACATCGACCGATGCCTCGACCTTGATGCCAGGTGTATCAAAGACGGGCGGCAGCTTCGGGGCAAAGGAGAGGGTATTCTTGGGCGTTACTCCGTCAACTATCTCGCCGATCCCCTTGAGATTGTAGTGTAGCGCGGCCGTAACCTCCGGGAACGTCTTGGGTCTCTGCTTGGGTGCAAGATGGTCATCCAGCTCGCTCAGTTGGTGGAGCTGGTGTACTGCCTCAAACGCTGCGAGGCGCCTGGCTGCCTTTTTGGATCGAGTGAGCGGTCCCTCGATGAGAGTCAGGGGAGAGTTGGCAGGCAGATGTAGCTTAGCCTTGAAGCGTAGGCCGTGCTGGCAGCCATTGTCTTGCATCTCGTAGTGTGGGCGAGTTGCGCAGAACTCGTCGGTGCGGAGCAGTGCGACGTAGTGAGCTAGGATGGCAACCGTGTCGATTGGAAAGACGCAAGCGCCGGTTGACTCAATGACGAGGCGCTGTTGGAGAAGGCCGGAGCGCTCATCGTGTAGAAACGCCTCACGCTCGAGCCTAGCTTCATCTTGGCGTTCTCCCCAAGGCATTTTGCGGTCGTCTGGCTGTGCTCGCAGCCATTGTTGCAGATCTGACTCGGCTTTAATGACTCCCTTGATGACAGAGAGATGTGCCTTGTTGTGCTTCTCTGCAAAGAGCAAGTAGGTCGAGTCTTGGGCTCGTGCTCGGCCTCGACTTTGAACGTAGCCGACGTGGTGATTGGGTAGGTCGAAGCGGATGACGCAATTGACTGGGCACAGGAGGGAGTGGCGGGTGAGATACGGTTGATCGTACCGCACTGATCGCGCAGGCTCACCTGGCGTGATGTCAAGGCCTTCTTCGAGGACGCTCGTTGCAATGACGAGGTTTGTAGGATCTCGACGCCTGAAGCGCATCAAGACGTCATTTTGCTGCTCCCACGTCATTCCCTGACCCGCTACGCCAAATGAAGCTGCCATCCCTCCGCCGGAATGACCTACCAATGCCTCACTGTGGATCCAAGATGAGAGGCTGGGTGATCTCTCAATAAGCATCTGCAGAGCAATGGCAGTGACTCGACGCCCTGTGAAGATCATACCGCAGAACTCCTTGGCGTGTGGCTTGAAGCACTCGAGCGCTTGGATGAACCTGAGCAGCTTTGGCGAAGCATTGCCCTCGTGAAGCTCGATGATGTCGGGGACTGGAATGTCATCGAGGAAGTTGACGACCTGGCGGCGAAAGTATGCTGAGTCACGGAGCTGGGCTGCTCGTGAGGTGTCATCGAATTGGGGATTCACGAGGTCTGTCGTTTCCTGCGGCGGAGAAAGATTGGCGTCAGGTTCGGACACATGTCAGCTCTGTAGTGGATGCCTCGATCTCACCATCACGCGTGCGTAGTGCTCCTTGATTGCGGCTTTGCCCAGGATGTCTTGCTTAGAGCTCAGCCTGGAGCAGCGGGGAGAGGCAAGTCGTCAGCTGTCGGCGGGCGTGATGCTCGCCACACGCAACGTACCAGGCGAGGTCACTGAAAGCCGGCCCCAGCTCCTCCCAATGCCAGTCCATCCCGCCGAGCAACTTTTCAAAGTCCTTGTGCTTGCCTTGGAACTCGGCCACCAATCGAGTGCGAACGGCAGGTGCGACGCGCGAACTGATGTCGGCCCAATTGGGGGCCCGGTCGTACTCGATGACGAGCTCAGTGGGGTGATTGGACACAATTGACAGCTCTTCGCGAGCTTCGGGTGAGAGTGCAAAGATCTTGGAGTCGAGGATGGATTCGAGTCGAGAAGAGGCAACTTCGAGCGACTTGGTGGATGTGAGGAGTGGGCTGGCTGTCATGCCAAAGATTTTGGGTCGGACACGGGGTAGTAGAAGGCGATAGTGGTCTGCGATGGCGATGACAGCGGGCGTACCATCAGCAGACGCAGAGCAGCAGTAAGGCGGCGTTGACGCACCCATGATACGCCTGTAGACGTCGTCGCCCACGACGTGGTGAGCTTCGTCAAATACGATCAGGTTGACGGAGGAGAGGCTGAGGTAGGCGTGTGAGAGGGCATTTAGAAAGACTTGTGCGGTGCAGACGACGACATCGACGCCGCGGTCGATGTTATCATCCCACCACTTTCTGAGCGAGCGAGCGCAGGATGACACGGTATCAGCCAATCTCGATCAAGGCAGGCAAGCCCCCGCCTCCGACCGCACCTGGTGCTACATTCGGTTTCAATCTCTCCGCAGAGAATCTCGACGTTGGCCTCGGTATTAGCGTCAATGAAGGTAGCCTGCTGATGAACGAGGGGTACGAGGGGCACAGCGAAGATGGCTAGGCGGCGTTGAGCCAGTGGCTTGATCTGCTCGGCGGCCATCATGTGCTCGATGAGCATGGCGGCGATCATCGTCTTGCCGGTGCCAGTCTCAATGCATGCGATCGTATTGCCTCTGTGCGGCGGCAAAGAGCGACGTGGTGTGGTACGGTGAGCAGGAGATGGCTCTGTTGATGGAGCACACCTGCGGTGCTCACTCTTTGCCTCTCTTGAAGAGCTCCTCTTGATAGAGACGAGCTACGAGAGCTCGACGCTCCTGTGGTCTTTCATTCTCACTCTCCATGGTGAGCCGGGGAAAGGGAGGTCAGATTGATGGTCGAAGAGTGAGCTGGGCATCACCGGCTCTTGATCACCAACGAAAGTGATGAGGCGCAAAACCAAGGCCCGTGCGGCGGCCTTTTCGTCGACAAAGCACGCACGCAGCCTCCTCGCTCGGTGCGATCTGTCGCTCGGCTCGACATTGATCATCGTCGCTCTCTAATTCGATTGTCGAGTCGACGTGCTGCGTCCCTGCAGTCGAGTCGAGTCGAGTCGAGCAAGCCAAGCAGCGGCCCCAGCCACGACGCGCGTGCGGAAGCAGCTCGCACATCGACGAGGCCGCGTTCGAGTGAGCAACGATAATCACTCCAACAGCCAGCAAGCATCCCTCCTTTCTTGCCATCACTAATTCGACCCACCAGTACGATCACACGCGTCTGCACACCACCATGGCTCGCGCAAAGAAGCAAGACAACGCCACTGAACCAGCTGAGCGACGAGCCTCGGGCCGCATCGCCGACAAGGCCTCGAAGCGCGAGGACGACGTCAAGCAGGCAGCCAAGGCCAAGACGAAGAAGACGGCAGCTACTGCCAAGAAGGGCAAGACGACGACGACGACTGCGAAGAAGAGCAACGGCAAGGACGATGCTTCCAATGCTGACGTCAACGGGCAGGGCTCTTCCTCTGCCTCGTCGAAGTCGAACGGCCAGCTCAAGGTGGGCGACGCCCTCCCCACCGGGCTCACCCTCAAGGACCAAGCAGGCAACGATGTCGACATCAGCTCGCTGCGCAAGGCTGTCATCTTCATGTACCCCAAGGCCAACACAGGTGGATGCACCACGTGAGTGCGCTCGAGCCCGAATCACCTTGAATCACAACCTGACTGAGCACCGCCTCTCTCTTCCCCTTGAACCCACGCACGCGGTCGTAGCCAAGCCAAGAAGTACCGCGACGACCATGGCCAATGGGACGAGCTCGGCTTCGAAGTCTACGGTCTCTCCAACGACGGATTGACTTCTCTCAAGAACTGGAAGGAGGTAAGCGTGACGCCCCCCCC